GCCACTCACCGTCTCAGAATTCGCATATCATTTTGTATCTACATCTAGAATGACTTATACTGGAACAATTGTACCTTTTGTGGTCATACAACATGTTTAGAAGTCGTGGTCGAATAGTTATTTTTGAAATTAATTATGTTACACTTTATGTTTTATATGTTGAAAAACAATCTAAATTAGTTTTAGAAATTAAAAAAAAAATTGACTATAGACTTGGTAGATGGTTGAGGGTCTGTAGTCGGCACGACTTGTCCTATAGTTAGTAGGTGTTTAGGGCGGGTCATGTCAGGAAGGACGAGATCGTACTGTTTTGAAGACTAAGGAAGTTGATAGTCTACCGGACATCTTGGCTACAGAAGTTAAGGCGAAGGCGACCTACACAAAGAAAAGGTGAGTGGATGTCGACATGGTGTCGGTCTATTATACTCTGATGCTTAAGTCAATATATGAGCTTAAAAGGAGAAAAGTAAAGAGTGGCTTAAAAGAAAATAGTGTACGTTGGAAGGTTATGAGCTCTTTCTATTCATAGGAGATGTGGTAGTCAGAGCAAATGGTGGATGGACAGGCAAGGACCACCGATGGCCGTGCTACACACAAGGTCGTGCTATGGACAAGACCGCGGCTGCGCTACGCGCACAATCCTATTATACGTCTGGTCGCGATATACGCCTGGCTGTGCTGCCCACCTACTTTGGGTTGCTTTCTTCTGGCCCAAGTGCAAAATTATTTTTTCTTGAGCTCGTGCTTGTTGGGTAAATTCTCCTTTAGCGGTAAAATTTTAAAAATTAAAAATTATGCTATAAAAATGATTTGAAAGGGGTGTAGAACCAAAATTTTTTGTCAATCATAAACGACTACATCACTATTTATTTTATTTATGAATTAATTATATATTAACCGTAAATTAAAATTAAAGATAAATTGACGATTAAAATATGTCACATGTCTCTCGGGACCTCTGGGTTGAATTTAATTGGTTTAATTGGATCATATGGAGAATTGGACCCGCAATCAATTTGCTTCCCAAAAACTCAAATAACCATGATTAGGTGGATTAATATTTAAATTTAAATTCATTTAAAGGATTAAGTTGGACCCAAAATTAATCTTTACATCAAGTTTAAGAGAAAGAATTAGAAGATAAAGATGGGAGATTGAATCCACCGTATTCCGAAAAATAATTTCTCGTGTCAACAAAGGCGTTCGCATCAAAATATGATTTAATTATTCACACTCGTTGTGATAACAAACTTACAAAAATTTGTATGAAATGTAACATAAAAAAAATCACTCAAAATTACGAGTTCTATTTTTTCTAAAGAAGAGAGAGAAGAAAAAAGCATAAAGAAAAGAAAAAAAAAAAGGTTTGCTTTTGGTGAACCTGATGCGCGAGTGATGTGAAAAGAAGTATTAGGGGTGGAGGAACGTCTGCGCTTTCAGTCTGGTACTGCGTGGGCCATCCCTCATCATTTCTTTTATTTTTTATTTTATTTATTTTTTAAAAGGAATTCCTCATAATTCTATTTCACTCTACACTATTTAATTAATACAAAAACATGAATTTGTCTCCTTTGGTATAAGTTTGGTTAATTTGATTTTCAAGGTAAGTTTCTCACTTCAAAATTTTTAATGTAATCCCTATAATTTGATCAATCATTACAAGTCTTCTCAATTTAGTGATATGTTTTTTTTATATCAACTACCTGTGTTAGGGTTTACATTTAAATGAAAAGAAGTAGAGGAAAATTGGTGTATTTATAGGTGGACAAAAAATTGTTTAGATACCGTTTGTAAATCTAAAGAGACTAAATTGAAAGTTTACCAACCATGCTAATTTGAGCTAAGCTCACTTGATTAATGCATTTATCTCCCACCAAAATATCATGAGTTTGAAATCATAAGACCAAGTTGTTTATAAAGTGTCTAATAATTAGTGTCGGTAAAAATTTTCCAAATCTCTAAATTTTAAATTTTGTGTCGAATAAGTCTCTAAATTTTTGTAATTCTGTGCTTATCTTATGTCCACTAAACTAACATTCACTTTGTTGGTGGTCAAAATCAGAATTGACACGTGTGACTATCAACTCAACTTGGAGTAACCATATAGCGAAAAATGGACCATCGGGACCCGACGAGCTGATCCATATCTAGCTGAGGTAAAAGAAAGCTCATTCGCACATATGAGGAATCCGACCTGGAGGCCCGACAGCCGTAACCGCATGTCGTAACCACCTAACGATCTTGTCTCCCCCGCCCACCTATAAAAGGGACACTCCTACCATTGAGCAGGTACGTTATTTCCTCTGAGAACGATTTAGACAGCTCGAGCTCACAATTAACTTGGGCGTCGGAGTAGCACGTGATCGACCTGTGAGCTCAACGGAAAACAACATCAACACACTTAATCTACTATTCATCTAGTTAAAGCATATATAGATCGTGAATCAAATTTACATCCTACATATGAAACAAGAAATAGAATCGGAATCACATTCCTATAAACCTAAAGTTGTGAAATCCTGAGAGATGATGGTCCTAAAAGTTGCTTAAGTTAGAAGAATTTTCCCCCATTTTTGGTTGATTGTGATGAAAAACGGATGGGAAGGTGAGTGGGGCAAAGTCGAAGTTGAGCACATGTTGGATTAAAGAGCCCGCAATCACAAATCCCAAAATCCCAATTCCCAAATCCCAAATCCCAAATCCCATCTTCATCTCAAATTCATCATCCCTCTTCCAATCTCTATAACGACAATTATTAATGATGCT